AAAAAAAATTTGGGGGTTAGGTGCACTTTAATAACCGAGTGTGAGATCTTTACAGGAACATTTTAGACCGAGACTTTGCCGTATGGACCGAGGGATAGCGAGGTCTATACGGCAAGGTCGAGGTGTGAGATTTTCCTGGTCGAGTCACAGTTTATTATAGGATAGAATGTCACGAAAGTCACATGTGGAGTAGGGAATGATTGTCATATCATGCAAGTCTTCTGAGCCGCTTCTTCAGTTCATCCATTAAGGGTGGTTTTAATCGAGTGCCGTAAAACCGAAACCAAAGTATAATCACTCTAGCCAATGACAAAGGATTCAGATAGTCCAAGCAGTGATCAGACTCGAAGAGAATACATGTAGCTGACGAGAAGCGCGGGAAAACATGTACGAGAGAAATACGATTGGTTTTAGTTTTACTTCTGATTGGATGAAAAAGTGGCGCGAGTCTTTTGAGGCAGTCGTCTGGCATAGCAATGCAAACCCAATTACCTTTCGACCCTCAAGCGAATAACGCTCTAAACACAGTTAAAAACAAATAATTGTCCATGAAAATGGCTATTCGAAATCGTACCTATATATGCATTTTTGGACTGTTTAACATCTCCTCCCACCTTGACTCTGTTTTGTTGAGATTCGTTTGAGATTTGTTTGTCTTGCCTAACTCTCAACAACCCTTAACAAAGACAGTTTGAAACGAAATGACGGAATTCTTACGATACACATTTATCGAGGACCACTTTGCGGTACACGTGCTATAGACGCATGTTTGATAGGTGGTATAAAATGCTTTCACTTCAGTGACTACTTAAGCGCTTACCTTCAGAACCAAACGCTTCTCTGTGCAAGAATATAAACATCCAGACGAAATGAAGATTTGCAGTCGAACCCTCCTAGCAGAGCAAAATAGAGTACTCTGCTGTTTATTAAGTCAGCTAAATGTATCCAGAATCAGAATTTGGGCTAAGACAATAGGACTGTAGTTTTGCGTTACTCGTGTGCTGTTTGAATCCTTGCTTAAACTCAGATCAATAAATTGTAACCGGACACAAAAGCGTTTCCTCCATCCCCTCTTTCTAGAGAATGCTTTGACTGTCTTCAGGATGTTTGTCTCATCTTGAGTTCTTTGTTCTCCCATTGTTTCAGTATCCGTTTTCGCTTTTCCAGGTTTGCGCAAATACAGTGTGTAAAGCATGGCAAACATGACACATTATGAAATACCATGAAATACCACGTATGAACTGCATATCAAGTCAAGTCAGTGATAAAAATCGTGACAGTAGCTCTAAATAGTAGCTAAATGTAGATTAATTCCCCATTTTTTCCTGCAAGTACTCAGCAGGTAATCACGTCCTATTTGTAAACTTTTCAAGCCTCTGAAACTTGAATTCGTTCTCTTAAACACGTATTGGTATTTGCCTTCACGGTAATTTAAACAAGTCCAATAATATCAATATTTCTTACCATGTTATATCCGCCCTTTTACAGCTATCCCGGTTATCCAAAATAAACTGCTATCAATACACTTTCCAGTGATCCTTGAATCTTATAGTCTCCTACAATATTCGCCGGTGTTCAATCTTCAAGTCTGACCTTCAAGTCGGCCCGACAAGTCTGACCAGTAATCGCCCTTACACAATTTGATCCCGGTTGGTCTCTTAACGAGAGGTGTGAAATACAAGAAACACGTTATACCTTTATTTGACGATCGGGTGGTGAAGTGATCTGTAAATTTTTGTGTTTTTGAATTCACTTCTTAAGAACCAAGAAAACCTGAAGACAACTCATGATTATAGCAGTTTGCTGCAGTTTAAATATCGTCAAACGGTCCAGCTCAGCCAACGGAGTTTGAAACTAAAACCTTAATTCGTACCTCAGTTGTGGTGTTCAGTTCGCAAAACCAGTGTATATGATATCGTATATTGGGATTAGCCGGGAAATATTGCAAGTTCTTATATTTCCGTGAAGGAATAGAATGGGAAGCAACAAATATAGCATACAGAAATAAAAAAATATAAATTGCGGAACCGGACTGACGTTAACCTGTCGTGTTTCTCTTAAATATTTGATCTTAACACGGTATCAACACACCGTTGCAGTTTTACATTTTATGTTGAGCTGCTATTATATCGCACTTAATATTTACTCGTATTCGTTTAAATTGATACATATATGTTATTTGCCGGCAGGGAGGTCCGTATGGTGAAAAACTGTGACCGACGTCTTGAAAATGCTGCCCGAGGCCGCAAGCCGAGGGCACCATTTTCAAGCCCGAGGTCACAGTTTTTTACCATACGGACCGACCGTAAGCCGACAAATAACATGTTTATTTTTTTTTTTTTTCTTTTTTTTTCCTGCATGCAGTAAATTGGTTTTACAGATTACAAATGGGTTTGTTTACGGAACTCTTGTCATTGAATCGGCTTGCGCGCCGTCCACTAACAATTTGTAAAAAATCTCGGCAACGAGCGAGTAACTCAGATAGTAGACAGAGAAAGATGTATTAAAAAACAGATTTTTTTCGAACGACTTTGTGTTAGTAGCATTTATTTCACCAGTTAAGTTCTCCAAAATTGCTTCTGCGGTGTGAAATTTACTACAAAAACAATTTCTGTCAGTCGTTGCTTTTAAAATCACTTCGTCACTTTTCTACCGTAAACTGAATAGCAGAAAGCGAAGAAATTCGTTAAATGTAGAAATTCTTCTACATACAGGAACGATCAGAGAGGTAAAGTCGACTGAAATTGACTCAAATTTTACGGCGAGAGAAACACAGGATGACAAGCCATTACAGGGCCAAGCTACAAACAGTTAAGCAAACTCTCACAACTTCAAAACACTCAATTGAATTTACTTACAGTGACTTTCCTTGCCATTTTAAAGTGAACAGATAAACTTGCGTTGACTAATCGTCAATGGATGTGTAAACAAGGCAAAAGCTTGACGATTACCGCTAACTTTTAGGAGCGAAATTCAGGCAGCGGGAAAAAAATCCGGCCCGTGGGCCGTATCGTAAAAAGCTGGACCGGTCACATGCGTATGATTAGCCAATCAAATTGGAGGATTTAGGATTGCGGCCAGCTCAGATGCTCGAGAAAAAAATAATTTTCATTCTTGTTTCGTTTCCTCAGAAACTTTACGAGACGGTATTGTTTTTTGCTTCAAGGGTGAACTATTTACATATTGGCGCAAGCATCCAATCATTGTAAAGTTTGTAACTGGCAACGTAGACATGTTCTGGCCAGACAATCAAACAGGTGAAATTTTCAGATGTCGCTCAAATCATCGAGATGAACAGTAGGGTGAGTGCAATTTGTAGTCTCGTAAAACGGCTAAATCTCTCTTCTTTCTACCTCTACCTCGGGTGAACTTCCACCACTTTCGAAATACCTCGGGTGACCGTCGGCAGTCTTCTGGTGTCTTTGTACTAACTTCGGATATCTTTGTTGCAGTTCGCACTGGTGTTACATGAAAACTGCACTCATTTTTAAACAATCAGAATAGAGTTATTTTTTTCAAGTGTATATTATTATAAATGTAAGTTTCAATGTAAATACAGCGGCAAAATTTCAGCCAAAATTCAATTTCAGCTCAGTGCTGCCTCGATTGAAAATAGGGAATACTGTGACGCCTGAAATGCATGCATTTTTATAGTAATTCTGTCAAACAAAATGGCAATGGGGTTCTATGAGTTACAGCTTCTACTAGGTTTCTCATACAGCAATCGGGCGAGTTGGCAAATGAAGTATGGACAACTTGAATCATAACGAACATAAACCTCTTTTACTTTGATGAAATACATGTGCGTTATCATACACATATAGTTTAATATTCTTGTACCTTATAATCATAATCCAATTCGTCCAAGCCTTCTCCGAAATGATGTTCTCATCCACAATCTTATTGCAACCATTACCCTTATCTAACGATAACTAAAGTAACAATATGGAAACCAGGGTTGTTTCTTTGTGCATCTCGAAAGCTGCTGGAACGAACCCTTTCTACTCATTGTACTTATATGGACGTTTAGAAGAGGACTGCGGCTGGTAAACTTTGTCATCAAGAAAACGAACTGAACGAAGGAACAATTCTAGGCTAAAATTATAATTTCGGTTCTAACTGATTCTGTCCAGTTTTTTTCTTGTTCCTGTGGGAACTTTCATTATTCTATTTGATTCATCTGAACCCAGGAAGAAGTTTTCCATGCTAACGGTAAGAAAACTTTGGCTCTCGTCATAACAGCTTATTTTTGCCCTAACCAGTTTTGATTAACTAATATAATAAACTACCCGTCAATAATTACTTTACTTTTTATCTCTACCCTTTAATCAAAGAACCAAGTCTCTTTTTGTTTAATGGCTAATAAAGAACAGTCGAGAAAAAATCCTAGATTTGACCAGTTTTCCTAGCTAAAAATGAAGAGAACAGGCATTATCATTCTCGAAAATGTTCAGTGTCAATCTTGAGTAATTCTCCGTAGAAAAATGGTGGCGACTGGTACATTTATGCATAATTCTTAGCGGACGACAACTTTAACAACGCTAATAAATACGTATAGAAAAGATCTTAAACCTACAGACCTAGCATACACAATTTCGTTAGCACAGGAACAAATATTGCAAAAATATGACTCTCCTTGTACTTTCTGAGTTGTGTATGGGATGTGGTAAAATGTAGAGCCGCCATCTTTTTTCCTATTGAGGATGTAAATATGTACAACTCCTGGTTAAACTAACCAAAAGCGCTGGGTCGCACTTAGGCATCAGTTTTGACATAAGATGTCTGACACGAAAATGGGGTCAAGGGCCAGAAAAGCGCATGGGGATGCGATATAATTCCAAAGGCCGTGGTTATGGTGTGGCCTCTAAGCAAGAGACCAATTTCGATATATTGAAATTCAGCCAAAAACAATAGACTTCCGTGCGAGTCTCTGGGGAATAACAACAGAGTTTGTGGGGTTTATTCCCCGGAGCCTCGTGCTGTGGTCTGTTGCTTTAGGCTGAATTTTAATATATCGAAATTGCCTTAGACCAAGCAAGAAACTGGCCTAAAACTCTCAGGTCATCAATAATTCGTGCCTGAGTTTTAAATTTCCACCGCCCTTCGTGACATTAATTAGCAATAAAAATGGTAAACTGACTACAAGCTGGGCTTAAAATGTTAACTAAAGACGTAACAGCATTAGAAATTTAACATAACAATTTAATATAACATGATTCAGTAAATTTTCATCTTGTGCAGTTTGCAGATAACAATTTCAAAACGGTTTAAATTCAGTGGTAAACCTAATGAATTACCGCATCGTTAATTTATTTGAGAACATAATGTCAAATATGCAAAGGCTTATCTTTCGTTACTTAACATTGGTTAAATCTCTATTTAGGGCACTTCAGTTCGGTAACGTCTATCAGTGAAACGAAAACCAGCTTGCCAAACTTTAGTTGTTCTCGTCAATATCCATGTCGTCATCTTCATCATCTTCGTCTTCTTCATCCTCCTCCTCGTCGTCCTCAAAATCGCCAGTTTGTTTCGTAGCAGATTTCTTGGCTGACTGTCCCGTTATGCTTTTGTGGCGTATCATGGACCGACAGCAGAATGAATTACACGCAGGAGCGCACATTGACGGGCAGGACATCGGACACTGTGGAGGTGGGATCGGAGCGGGAGCTGGAGCTGGTACGGTCGCTGGGCAAACTGATGGATAGGGGAGAGTTGGTGACATGGGGCATGTAGCCACTCCACAAGGAGAGGTGCAGGGGTAGGTGGAAGGAGCACAAGTTGGTGGGTAGCATTCTGAAAAAGGCATGACAATAAAAATTAATCAAAAATATTTCTCAGTGCCAGTTACAAGAGAGTTTAGATAGGTTTACCTGAGAGCTGGGAGTTGGTAAAAAATTTAAGTCTGCATTATTTACTGAAAGCTGAAAAACCGCCGAAAATGTAACTTTTAATTGAGACGACAGCACCCTGATCCAAACCCTTGTGTAGTTTTCAAGCAAAATAAATAATAAATCCAAGAATTTCCATTCATCGACAAGGGCTGTCTAATCATTCAGCCATGCTACATGTAGTCTTCCTGCGTTGAACAACTGACAGACAGATGAGGTGTACTAAGGGCGATAATGTTGTCTCTTAATGATGCTTTCGCTCGGCCAGAAACGGAAATCGGAGATGAAAGAATCATCTTCGAGAAATACCTAGCGTGTGAGGTGTACAGATGATAAACATATTATTTCACTTTCTCCAACTACTATAGGAGAGAACTGAGAAGTTTCATAAAGAGAACAACTCCACAATGCTTTTTTTTTTCCATACAATTTTTTTCAGTTTGTGAAATGTTTCAAATCGCCATGAAATCTCCCTCGTGATACCTTCTTTTGTTTGTTGCAATTAAAAAGGTCTCTATTGTGGGGCATAGCGACAAAGACATTTTATAGCAGAGGAAATTTTTTGACTCTCCCCACTCCTTTAAATTAACTCTTTTGCCGTAAGAATATCGACCCCGAACTCACCCGCTTTAATAATATTGCTGGCCCCAATTCCAGCGACGAGTTTCTTCAAATGTTGTCCCTGGCATGTGAATTGCAGCATCAGGAACACTGTAGAAGAGCTGCAAAGCAAAGTAGGAGAGAAGAAAATAGACACTAGAACTGTGATTAAAAAAATTCAAGACTTAATTTCAACAACAGAGTTACTTTCAAGCATACCTGGCATTAATAGTCCTCAAGCATGTCAGACAAGTATATCCCTTATAAATGTTCTTGACCTGAAGAAAGAATTAATAAAAAGTAACTCGTAGATTTACGGTTAGTAAAACGCGACAAAGAATTAAGCAACCTGATTGATTGCATAGTTGGTTGGCATGAAGAAGTGTTTACTTGGATTTCAAAAATTCTTTAAATTTGAACTCCGACTCGCGTATAAAACAACAACTATTTTAAAATCATGCCTCTTTTACTTAGTGATCACCTAAACACAAGAGAAGATGACAAAATGGTTGGTGCGAAAATTTGTAAAATATATTTCGCCGTTTGTTTATCGAGACACTGGTTTGAAAGTCTACCAGCTTTGTCTTTTGAGTGCAACTCTTACAATAGCCCATTTTACTGTTCCGTGCTTGAATGGTCAGGCCTTAGAACATAAGAGAGGCTTGAGTTGACTTTGTCATTATACAAACCTTGCTATTTTTCAAAAGTAACGTTATCATTCTAATTAGCTTCCAATCTCTATCATCAAAAGGTCAATGCAAACCTCGCACTCATACAGAGGCTCGGTTATATTTCGCAGAGTTGTAAAATGATTGTAAAATTTCTAAAGCTGCTCTAACATATTTTTGCTTGTGTTGAAAAGAGAAGTTGCAGTAATAAATTAATAAGGCAAGTTAATAGCCCTACTCTCTATTTGCACATTAATTAGATGCTTTTACTTACTTTTGCCTCTATAGCTGATTGCCCGCTAGTTGTAGCGGGTGTTGTCGGTGTCGCCACTGTGGGAGCTGTTGGCTTTCCGGCTGCGGTAGGTTTTTTGGACGGGGTGGGAATAGCTGGTTTACTTGTACTAGCACCGGGAGAAAAGTTTATGGCGACCAGGTAATTCTGACCTGATAACAATATCATGGTCAAAATGATAATAAGAATTCCTTACTCGTATTAAACAATGTACAACCTTAAAAAAGGTCTACATATCGAGTGTAAGTTTCACACAGAGGTGAAGGAGTTTATCCCGAGTTCTGTACCATTAAGGGACTAAATATTATTTATACTACCCCTGAATGGTAGCTCGTCGCAGGGTCACCTTTAGTATTCAAGGTGATTCCTCGTTTTTCGCGTCATAGGCGCGCGCACAAGAGCGCGTGAACATATACAAGAACCAGAGATTTCCTTCTTGCTAAGCTCACCAGAGGAATGAATGCTAGTTTTCTATTAAATGAGCCTGGTTACCTATAATAAAATTACATAATTTTGGTGTCCAAATTCTTCTCTTTAAATTGAGAAATTAAAAAAAGGAAGAAAAGATATACCAATTGTGATGTTTTTCCATACCTTTTCAAGTATTTCTTGAAATATATATTCACTTGTAAAGATTTTAAGGAAAACGACCAATTTTTTAAGTTTACAAGACATGTTTCGACGGAACTTCTGTCATCTTCAGTTGAATGATTACAAAGCAAGTTGAATAATAAGTATACAAAAATGCTAATTAAGACAAATAGTAACAAAAGAACGTGAAAAGGCGTAAATTAAAAGGATAATTTTAGATTTACATGGTGTAATTGCTAATTGAGGCAAGGTAGTTCTTTTTGAATATGGATAGCCTCCTTTATCTTGAGTTGAAAGCTGGTAGTGGCGTGATCTAAAATATGAAAGCAGTCTGTTGAACACAATAAGCGACAACGTTCAGAATTCTGAAGATGTTTGAAAATGTGAGAGGCCTTATCAACGGCTAAGTGCTCACATACTTGTATTGTTTACCACCTACGGGTATATTACGAACTCACAACATGACCAGCTCCCAGTTGGCTTGATAAATCATGTCTTCAAATATATGATCTTTGGTATATTCACTTCTAGATGTGTCCTATGTTATTTCAGAAAGCTAATTTGTAAGGACATGAGGGACCATCGCCGTTATGTACACAACTTAAGGTCTGCGTCGAGCCAACTGGTCTATACCGCCAGAGTTAATGCCGGTTTCCATACCCTGAGGAGAACTTCTATCCCCCCTGGATGAGATGTTAGTCAGTCACGGGGCTACCCCCCCCCCCCCCCCCCCCCCCNCTCCCACACTTCCCCTGGCACTGAATTCGCTGGTTCAACCGGGCTGGAGAGGGACACTGTGAGAGTAAAGTATCTTTTATAGCTAAGAACACAACGCATTGACCCCGACCAAGAATCAAATCCGGAGCGTAAGTCACTGCGACTCCCACGTGTCTACAGCCGAATCAGTTGTGAAAATAAAGCTTGAAAAAGAATTCGAACCCATGCACTCTGCGATACCGGAGGTCATGGGTCATGAAATCCATTGGTAGCATAAGTGCTGTGATTATTCATGTCTTCATATCTTTCTCCGTAGTTTATGTATATGGTCTTTCATATGTTCCTATCGTAAATAATAATATTTTAAGTAGCGTGTTTGATATTATTATTGTAAAATTAGTGAATTAAGTATTGTATATCCAGCCATCTTGACTGAGCAAGCTTGGCCAATAACCCATATTTATTACTCACAAGTCAAAGCGTTCAGTGTGGCAGCAGTTCCAGTCGTTGGTTTCCCGCCAACAGGTGTGGTGGCACTTGTCGATCCTCCACCCGGTTTTGTAGTCGCCTTTGTTGTTGGTTTGGTAGTCGGAGTGGTAGGAAGACCTGAAATTGTCCTTAACACTGTTAAGATCTTTTTTAGAAAAGGAATATTTGGCTAGGAGTGTTTGAAATACTATCGAACAAATAGGACAAAAACTTTCAAAAAGACAGTAAGGCTAAAAGTTTATCCTGAGATGGTCAAGGACAATGCTTGACCCAGCGGCACCTTATTTAATTTCCTTCACCTTTGTTGCCATTTTGATGAAATTTGCTGTCGAATGTCTGGAATAATGGCAGTCTAGGATTGTCTTAAAACATATCCATGAAAATGAAGGAATTTGAAAAAAAAAAAAAAAAAACAGCTTTTCGTTTTCGCGTGTACGGAAAACATTTTGAAAACGGAGCATTTCGAAAACGTTGGCGTCACAATAATCACGTAATTTCCCTGGCCTAGTTTTCCTCAAACACAAATCCAAAATGGCCGGTTACTATTGCGTTTATAAATTCCTCCGATGTAGAGTGGACGGAAAAAATTTGATGCGTTTTCAAAGTGGAACCTCCGTTTTCAAATTCCCCTGGCACAGTGTGGATGGGACCTTAATCGATATAATGCTTCTTGTAGAACTTTGCTTGTCGCACTAAATTTAATTCACAGCTAACATACTAACATGCCGAGGAACATGCTAGGTAGTTTTAGGGGATTCAAGCATTTTAACGTATACTCACTTTCCAATTTGTAGACGAAATTAGCAGTACCGCCTACATTACCGACGCAGTCTTGATTCTTGGCGCACTTAAGGCCGTCAGAGTTTTTGCAAGCTTTCGAAGTACCACTTTTCGCATACGTGGCTGACACTTTACCAGAATGGCAATCGCCTAAGAGGGAAAAATAAATGATTTCTTATGTTAAACTGAATAGAGCTGTACGATACATTATAACGGCAATTCTTTATCTCTATAAGGAGTTTCCAATTGAGAGTCAAAAATATTTTGGAATGCTTTGGTGCTTGCTTTACTACCATGATTGATGTAAAAAAGTGTTCGCGCCACGTATTCGACTAACCAAATTAAAAGTCATGTTTTCGCGTCTTGGGCCCGCCTGTTCCCCGTGTTTGGCGCCATTTACGTTATTTACTTGGAGTTCTGATAGCCTTGTTGCTTTTCTGTAAACCGTTTTATCATGTTAGTGCTGAGAAGGGGGGAGTGGGGGGAGGAGTTGCAAAACCTACAGTTGATGATTTTCTTTATTATTGATATCCCATTTCTTCTAGATTTACAGATAAAAGTTGACGACCACTTTTGGCAATTAAAGGCCTTACACTCACCTACTTTTCTCAATGCAAAGAATTCGTATTTTTTTTTCAGAGCAGCAGATCCACATCTCTGGACGGCACCCAGAATGTATCGGCCAAAGTTCTTAAAATCGATCTTTGTTTTTGATTTGAATCCAGTGGCATCGCTGAAGAGTCGCTCGGGGATGTACGGCGCCTTGGTATTTTCCTTAAAACAGCCTACTATCTTGATTTTATATCCCGGAATGGCTAAAATGACAAGTGGGAAAGCATTAAAATGTAATAGCTATGCCATTATATATACACTATACTTCAACGTTGCCAGGTTACCCTAACGATTTGCTGGTACTCATTCTTAGCCTGGGTGGTAAACGGAACTAGACATGACCGTAGTTTGAAAGAAAAAATAACATATAAGTACACTGAAGCTTTAAAAGAGTGGGACAATAGGTGATGCTAACACAATTAATGTTGTGACAAAAAAGTCTGACAGTCGTTTTCAAATTTTGTCCTCGTATCTTGGCAAATCAATTAAACCAGTTACAATTTGTACTCCGTCAATTTACTTAATATCATCTTGTTTCGTAGAAACGTTTGGTGTACGAGCGAAGGCATTCTGTCATAATTATAGTCCATCTGTGACCAATAATGAAGCAAAAATATAATCGCCATGATATTTCTCCTTTGATCTATTTATGTGTGTACAGATCCAGTCCAGGCTTCCGCGGCCATGGAATACCGCGCGGATATTATGACAAGTAGTTCTTTATTAAAAGAAAAACATTTGGTTCGAAACCAAACAGTTAACAATCGCATGAACTAAAACAAGTTCCAAAAATTATATTGTTAGAAATGATTGATCTTACCTACTTTGGAGTATTGACCTAAAATGTACATAAAAAAAATTTAAAAAAACGTGTCAGTGTTTTCCGAGAGTAAATGGTTTGTATAGTGAACATACTGGTATAAAAACAAACCAAAATTGTTCGTATGTCCATTATCGCCTCCAATCAAACTAATTAAAAGAGTCTTGTGTGACATCGTCTCTCTGAAACGTTGGCGACAACGCTGATCACCAAAAATGTAAGTGTTTTATCAATTCAGCAATTTACGAATTTAGACTTGTACGTACCGTTGGCGAAGTCTGATCCTATAAATGAATGGTAAAATCACTTCGTTAGATTTGGCTACTTATATAAAGGTTCCAGTAATTAAAGATATTTTAATATTTACCAGACTGAAAAAACGACTTACCTATGAAAAGGGAAACTGCAGTGATCGCTAAAAGGCATGTCAGCGGATGCTTCATGTTTGTAGTCCAAAATGTCCTAGATAACGTGTAAACAGCAACAGTTAAATTAGTCGACAACAGGAGCCATAATCGGGGACGGAGACCGTAAGTCTCGGGATTCGCGCGTACCTATGATATGGGACAATTTTTCTATTTTTAGAACAAATT